CGTTGGTACGGCCTTGGCAGGAAAGATTATTTTTGATTTGCGATTGTTATTGCACACTACCTTTAGGAAGCAGCACATAAAAAATATAAGTTAAACGTTCAATAAGCGTACCAAATTAGATATAATTTACTAAAGGGCATTATTTGTATATTCCACGCTGATTGGGTGTTTATAAACAGTTGCAACAACTTCATAGGCAGTTGTCTCAGAGCTGGGAAAAAATTAAAATAATAGAATTTTGCTAAAAAAATTTCTTTTGAATAACAGTTTAGTTCGACTGGGCTCTAGGATTCACAACTAGTAAAGTATTTAATTACGATAAAATAATATTTATCGCCTTAATAATGCTTCCTCCTGTGTAAAATTTTTACGCGAAAGATTATTTCTTTTTTCAAGCACTAAATCTTGCTTTAGTCGGCTAAATTTAGTTACACTAAATATTTAGTCGACTAATTTGAGTTAACTAAAAAGTTAGTCGACTAATTTTAGTTAGACTAAAAAGTTAGTTGCTGAATTTTAGTTAGCTAAAAAGTTAGTCGGGTAATTTTAGTTAGCTAGAAAGTTAGTCAGGTAATTTTAGTTAACTAAAAAGTTAGTCGGGTAATTTTAGTTAACTAAAAAGTTAGTTAACTAATTTTAGTTAGACTAAAAATTTAGCTAAGTATTTTTAGTTAGACTAAAACTAACCTTAACTCCCACCCCTAATATTTTATGAAATGACAATGAATTTACTCGGCAAATGCTTGGCAGAAAAGATTTCAAAAGTATTGATATCAGTACATGCATAAGTTCTTGATTTTCTGTATCCCTAAAGAACTGTATGTTTCTTTAAAACTAAGGAAATTTCAGCTGAAGAAAAGTCTACATGATAATACAGACAGTGTTAAGATGGTTAACGCTGTCTGTGTTATAAAGAGTGTTGAATAAGGTCTTTTAATTTAAGTATCTTTGATATGTAGTAGAGGATATTAGGGTCAGTTAAAATGCTGAAAATAAGATTATTTTTAAGGCTGTATTTTGGAGGTGAGATAATCTTTTAAATGTTAAAAATTGAGTTTGTCCCCATACTTGACAAGCATGTCTAAGATTAGACTCGAAAACAACATGATATATGTTAAAGAGCATTTCAAGATTAAGATCTTTCAAGATTAAGCTCTAATCTAATGTTGAATTTTGACCAACATATTGTTGGACCTGCTTAGTTTCAGTGCTAAGTCTTAAGAAGATGGGATGCAAAATTTAATATGGAATCAATTTTGGTACCAAGATACTTGATAAAATTCACAGAATCTATTTTTTGACCACTTAATCTGAAATTCAGGTGCTTTTTTATTTTTGTTAGGCTTGATTTAAAGATAATAATTTCAGTTTTTGAAGTTATACATTTTGGAAGAATAATAATTGGGAGAAGCGAGCAAGAGTATAATGTTTGGAGATAATTAGAAACAATAGATTTTCTATATTAATTAAGTCCATGTTAAAATCACCCATTAATACATTTTTTTTTCATAACTCAATTTCTCAAGTAAAGGAGTTGAATGGTTTGCAATGAATTCTTTTGGATTTAAAGTTGTGTGTAAAATAGTATTAAAAAGTATAAAATAAATTTTGTGATCTGGTTGGAACTCAAATTTTCAAGGAGTTTTTGTTTGATTAAGCCTTGTACAAAAGTTTAGCAAGATATATGATGTCCTTTTCGAATTGATATGGAGTTACTCTCAAATAAAATATCAACCTTAAATTATTACCTAATAGTTTTAGTATTACTAAAAATGCATCGATTGTTTATTTTTAAATAAATATTTTTGTTGAAAATGGTCTTCAAAGATCAGAATGAAATAATGAAACTGCCTTGGCTTTGAAAGCTAGGACCAAATTTATGTAAAGTATTTAAAACATGCATAAATTTGCATCTCATTATTTTATTTGCTTCTTATTTATTTTGAATAACTTTTGAATAATTTTTATTGTTATTATTTAACAATGTTTCAGATATAAAGTATTGGATCCCCTTAGAGTAACCCTCATGTTGAAGACAATATTAGAACAAGGATATGTTCTGAACTGAGTACAGTTTGAACTGCTAAGAAAATTGTGGTCTTCATTAAAATAAAAATATAAAATTCTTTTATGTACAGTTTACAATGTAAAGGTGTAAGATACTGATTCTGATGTTGGCACATCAACAAGGAAATCATAAATCCAAGTATTGTACACAGAATCCAAGAGATTGTTAGTGAAAATCCTGGATACTCAATTTGCATGTCAAGAGACCTGCAGAACTTGAATCCAACTGCACAGTTATTGTTGAAGATATCAAATACAGATTGCATGTTCCTAGAAGACGCCAGTCTATGTCACAGTAGACAAGTGAACCCTATAGACAAAGTTTTTTTTTTATCTTCAGGGTTTTATAATCTTTTCTAATTTAGTCCTGTTAAGAAATAACAAGAGGCTCTGTGAAACCATCAATGAAATCCATATTGTCATGAAAACAAAATTTCCTACTACAACGAAGATGCTATGTGTTGTCAGCCCCTTCAATGTTTGAAGTAATAGATAAAGCAAATAGCAAATAAACATAATTTTATCTTCCAACAATATACTGCACCAGAATATAGTGTCTAAAAGGTGCACAAATTTCTGAAAAAAAAAGTATGAAGTATTGGCAATAGAGGATAGTAAACAACTTTGTTCCAATGAAGTGGCTGTAAAAGTTAAGATTGAAAGCATTGTCCATGGATGAAAAACATGGTGTGATCAAGATTCTGAAGTTGATTCAAGTTTATTATTGCAATAGATAGAAACTTTTTTTGAACTATTTAAAAAATAATTATGTTTATTTACATAAAAGAATCAGTTTATTTCAAAACAAAATGATTCTTTGAGTTTTTATTTTACTAAAGTTTTGCCAATTTACCTTGAATAATGTCTATTTATTTTTATAACACCTTCTAATTTAAAAACAATTCTTAGACCTTATATTATAAAAAGCTTCAAATTTCTAAAAACATCAAAACACCTAGAGATACTTATGTTGTTAATGTAATTAGTCGTAATAAGCTGTAATAAGATGTATGTAATTAGTCATAATAAGCTGCGGATGGTCTGAAAAAAAAATTATGGTCTGAAACTTAGATAAAAAATTAATAAGCCTGTCCTGACTCCATAAGGTGCTGCTTTGGAAGCAAAAAAAAAAAAAAAAAAAAAAAAAGCCTGTAACTAGCAAAAACTTAAAAATTTTATTTTAACTATTCAAAGTCTTTTTTGCTATATTTTTTTTTTGCTATATATATAATTTTTTGCTATATATATATTGCCAGATTTGAAACTGTATTGTTTTAAGGAGTGAGTTTTATCCCTTGCAAAATGACATTGATGGCTTGGCATTAAACCACTGAGCTATCAAAGTTATGCAGGTCATTTGTAAATGGGTGGTATAAATGGGTGGCAAGATTGTCAACATAGTAAATAAAGTTTATACATATGGGTTTATTTGCTTTATCTTCGCTAGTTAAACATAATTGATGTATTTGTTTATTAACATTACTTTTAACAAATGCATGATCACTTTAGAAATGATCTAAATAATATTGACTTGAATCTATATTCATTTAGTTAATGTTGTCACTTGGCATGATGAACATTAGATGTAGAATTGGATTGAAAATGTTTTTCAAATAAATTTCAACGAACTGTTAAAAAAATGGGTAAAAATCAGATTTAACTATTGTAAAGTTATTTTGAACAAAAATATTTAAAGCATTTTGAAATAATGAGCCTTTCACAAAGAAGGAGTAAAGATTTTTTAAACAATATTTGTGATATTTCAAAAAAAGTTAAAAGATCCAAAAAGTAATGTTTAACATACTGTCAAACGTTGGAAAAAAGTTGGTAATTTTACAGATAAAAGAGAAGGAAGATTGATATCTGAAACATCAAGTGAAGATATGACAATTGACAATAAGTAAATGTAATAGAAGACTAACTGCCCCAGAAATTACTGAATGAAAGTCATTCATAGACAACATCTGTAAATACAAAAAAATAATAGCATCTCAAAGAAGCAAGGTTTTTTTGCGGAGTTGCTGTGAAGAAACCTTTGCTTAGACAAGCAAACGAAATTAAAGTGGGTCCAAAAATACAAGGAAAAATGAAAGTTATAAAAATGTATTTTGGGCAAATGGTTCCAAATTTAAAGTTTTCAGTAACCAAAGACATGACTGTTAAAAGAACAGTGAAAGAAGAGATGGATCCACAGTGTGTAGTTCCAACAGTGAAACATGGAAACATGATGATGGGGGTGTGTGTGTGTGTTTTTCTTCAACTGGCACTGGTTACCTTGTGAAAATTGACAGAGAAAAGAACATTAAAAAACTTTAAAAGAAAATGTTATTCTATCTGGTTTACAATTATTTAGTCATGGATTTGTGTTTATGCAAGATAATGATTCTAAACATAGTTCTAGATTTATTTGAACTGTCTTCAATAACAAGACGGTAGAGAAATTTTTAAAAATATTGGCTGGTTAGCTAAATCTCATGATTTAAACCCATTTGAGTTACCATGGTTACCATGGGAAGAACTTGGTAGAAATATTAAAAAAATATGTCTAACGTTAAAAAATCAGTTACAAAATATTTTAAATTAATCATAGGGTGCAGTTTCTGCAGAAGTCATTCAAAAATTAATTGATCGATTGCCAAATACTACAAAAAACTTTTAGAATTAAAGGGCTGACAAAAAGGAAGCGATGTGTTTTTCTTTTGCTTATTTATCTCTATTTAATGTCAAAAATGTTTTTTATATTTAATATATTATAACCATAAGTAAAAAATAGATAAATATTAAAACATTATTAATACCTTTGTACTAAAATATTATAAGTATTTTTCTTGTCCAGAAACTTTTGGAAGCAGGGTATATAATTTTTTTTTCAAACTCATCTATATTTAAAAAAATATCTGTATTTAATTTTATCATAGATTTTATTCTTCTAGGTTGTTCTTATGTCAGCAACTGTAGATTCTACTTTATTTGCAAACTATTTTTCTGTGTTGATAAATGGAAAACAAGAACCAGCCCCTGTTCTGAATGTCGAGGGAAAAATGTATGAAGTGTCTGAGTACTACTTCAATGATATAGCCACATTGGCTGCTGTAAGATCAATTTTTATTAATATCAATTATTGTTTATAATAATTAATTTGTTTAATGATAAACTTTTAATTAAACTTTATTTACTATATGGAATATAAATGCTATAGTATGCATAATGGATTTTTTAGCCACCACAACAAAGTTTGTATGAGCCAGAAATAAGTGAAAAGTGTTATCAGTTTTGTCGTGAACTTATAATGGCTCTTGATGTTGACGAAATAGGTGACAACTATAAAGTTGGTATGTTCTCAGAAACTCGTGGAACAGTTCTTGTTTTTCTTCCAGGTAATGTTGTTTTTAAATAAAAATTTTTATGTAAAAGTTATTTTCATGTATACTTTTTTGGTAAAAAATTTTATGTAAAACCTAGTTTGTTTCCATAGTTACTGTGATGTTCTATAAAAATATTTAATGAGTAGAATCTTTCACAAAATCTGCATTTGCAAGATTTTGTTTAATAAAAACTATGAATAGGGTGTATGGATGTATTTGGACAAGGTGAATGTGTTTATTTGCAACTCTTTTCCTAACAAATTGTAGCTTCTATTGGAATTTTTTAAATATTTATTCATAATTTCTTTTCTAACATTTATCTTCTTTTGCCATTTTTGAAAAATTAAATAATTAAAAAAAAATAAAAGAGGCCACTAAAAAAAGTTTTTTTTTTTTTTTTTAACATGTTTGTTTCCAACCAGGCTTGGTCAGGAAGGTGTGCAATTTCACGGTTTTATATGACCATGCAAATAATATTTTGTTTTGATGATTTGACCAGAGTTATAACATTTTAATAAAGTGCTGAAAACTTAACTTAGTTATAAAGAAATTAAAAAAACAAACTTATTTTAAATAAATAAATAAAATCTTCTTAAAAAAGTAATGAAAAATAAAATAAAAATAGCTTAGTAATAAATAACTAAAACAAAAATAAAAAAAAAAAAAAACAAAACTTAGCTAAAATAATTAATAATAAACATAAGATAATTATGTTTGAAATAAATAACTTTGAATCTTTACTAATGTTTTCATAATATAAAACTAGTAGTGTCCTGTCTGCTTTGTTACATCAGCATATAAAATTATATTAATATTAAAAAAACAATAAATAAATAGTACTAATCGACAAAAAATGTAAATATATTCTTTTGTTTTTATTAAAAACTTAATCGCGCATTAGTGGTATTTTTTAAAAACTATCAAACTTAACTAGGAAACTTTTTTTAGAGACGCTTTATTTAATTATTATTATTTTTTTTTTGGGGGGGGGGGGGGGGAGGATGCGTTTCACAAAAATGACAACTGACTTACAAACAAAAAAACATGTTTTTTCTTTATTAAATAGACATAGCGAAACCCTTTCAAACAAAGTAACAACTTCCAATGGTTTTTTGATAAATACGTACATTTTAAACAAAGATAACAACAAAAAAAAACTTCGTAGTGATGTAAACAAAAGAAAAATAATTAAATCTTTTCTTTTGTCAAAAATCCAATATCAGAAAGCAAATGAGTAAAAGTAAAGATGAAAACAAAAAATAATGAACAAAACTATTCCTTTAATTGATAATTTGATTTAATTCGTTGATAATTCAATTTTTTTAATTTAAAGACTAAAGAAAAAAATTCATAAAAATTATAAAAATAAAATTATGTTTATATTTTTTTCAACTTGCATTCTTGAAAAAAAAAAATTTTTATATTTTGTGTATATTAACTTTAATCAATAATTTTTTTATTTAAAGACGAAAGAAAAGTACATTAATGCTTTAATGTCAAAAAATCATTAGCAGTGAATTGTTACTTTATTTAAAAGCGTTTTAATAATATAAAAACATTAGTAAAGATCAAAGTTTAATTCAAACAGCTGTCTTTCAAAAGTTTGTCTTTTTTTTCTCAACAAATTTATACAACTTTCATTTTTAAAGTATAGATGAAATTTATACAACTTTTATCTATACTTTAAATTAAAAAGCATTTCGCTACTATAAAAACGTTAGTAAAGATAAAAGTTTCAAAGTTATTTATTTTTGATGTAATTAAAAATAATTTTTTTCAGCGTATTTTAAAGATGTTAAAAACTGTGGTCAAATCATCAAAACAAAGTATTATTTGTGTGGTCATATAATGGTGTGCAATCGCACGTCTTCCTGAACAAGCCTGCTTCCAACAAGACTGCAAGTAACCACTATTAAAGTTGAAAGTTACTGGAAGAGAAAAGATAAGGTTTATAGAGCAAGATAACAATTGACAGATGACTTAGAAGATTGCCAATTATATGAATCAAGAAGTTATATGAAAGCAATATGAATGAAGCAAATTGCAAAGAACTGATGTTTGAGGAAAAAAATTAGATGAATACAAGTTCTTGGAGCACTTAGGAACAGTCACAGTAAAAAGATAAGACTTAATTGAATGGCGAGTAACATGAGAATTAATTTTAGTAGATGTGCCCATTATAGTATTTGTATAAAAGAGAAAGAGAAGCAATATTATGAAGATGAGATAATGGTTTGAGGCTGGCTGCAAGAGTAGGTCCAAATATGCTTACAATGCATTATTGCATCTTGTTTAAAAAAGAAAGGGCATCATTGGAAGAACAGTAGTCTATAAAAGGACAGATTTGAGATTTATAGATATAAAGAATAGTCTGGAGTAAGAAAGTGTTGAGCACAATAAAATGATGCAACCTTAGCAGATGCAAATTTTGCAATGGATTTGATATATGGTTTCCAAGAAAGATCAGAAGTAAGAGTTAATCCTAGATTATAAAAGGTAGATGACTCATCAAGTACATTACCTTTCATAAATAAGGGAAGACCTAAATTATTGTGATAACAATTGGCTGAAAAAAAATTGCGTTTTATCTGAATTAAAGCTCACCAGCCACTGTGAGCCCCATGCTGTAGCAGAAGTGAGACCCTTTTTAAGCTCAAATGCCCCCTCCAAGCAATCAGAGAGTGTTGGCTTCTTATCAAGATAAGAATAAATAGCAGTATTATCAGAGAACAATGCCACCTTAGATGTGAGAATATTTGGAAGATTATTAATGTAAATTAAAAAGAGTATAGGGCCAAGGATAGAGCCTTGAGGAACCCCTGATGTTACAGGATATGAAGGAGAGTGTTGTCCATCAAGGACAACTTTTATACTATGATCTGTAAGGAAGGATTCAATAATCTTAAAGATGTTACTTGATACACTGTAAGAAAAATACTTATGGAGAAGACCAGCATGCCAAACTTTATCAAGAGCTTTAGAAATGTCAAGAGCAATAGCCTTAACCTCTCCACCTCTATCTAATGCACAATAAAACCTATCGGTTATTACTGTTAGCAAATCAGCTGTAGAATGAGAAGATCAAAATGCATAATGATGATCAGAAAGTAAGTTATTAAATTTAAGATAAGAGATTAAGTGTTTGTTAATTAAAGACTCAAAAACCTTAGTTATGATAGGAAGAAGACTAATAGGGCAGTACTTAGACGAGTCAGATTGCTCTCCTGAATTTTTGAAAATAGGGATAACAGATGCTGTTTTCCAGCAGGCTGAAAACTATTATATGCACTTGTTAAATAGTTTTAAAAGTATAGATGACAGCTCTGGAGAACACTTTTGCAAGACTTTTAAGAGGTATGTTGTCCGGACCACAAGCTGTAGAAGAAAGCAGAAAATCAATTTAGATGTAGAAGAGTGATACGAATGTCAAGCATTTGATCAACCTGTTTTTTGGATATATCAGGTAGAACGCAACTATTGGAATCAAGATGATATTGATGAAAAGTTCTTAGCAAACAATTCAGCTTTGTCTTTAGGTGAGGTGACAAAATCTGAACCATACAAGAGAGTTGGAATAACAGTTTTGCCTTTATTATTAATACTGTTAAAGATTCTCCAGAAGTCTCAAGAGCCTAATTGTTTAAAATGATATATGAGATTTTATGACCTGAGAACAGCGGGCTTTGGCATTAGACAAAACATTTTTACAATGGTTTCTAGTAAAAGTAAACAGAGGTCTGTTTTCTGGTGAATCGTTTTGCTGATAAATATGGAAGTAATGGTTTCGATTAGAAATTGCAGCAGCCCAATGTGAGGAAAACCATGGAGAAGATTAAGTCTAGACTTGGAATCATCAATAGGAAATAAAAGATTCCATGCCAGCCTGAATCCACGAAGTTATGTAAGAAGCACATTTGTCAGCAGGAAGACAAAAGATTTCTACTCAAGGGCCATCACAAAGAAAATCACAGAAAGAGCCCCAGTTAGCTTTAAGGTAGTTGTAAGAGGTACGATGATAGGATGATTCTGATGATGAAGAAGAATGAGATAATAGTTTTAGAGAGATCAAACCGTAATCAGAAGCACCTAAGGGTGAATGTGGAGAAACTGAGCATTGACTAGGATCAGAAACAAGGGATGAGTCAAGTAAAGAATGGCGTATTTATTCTTTTACATTTATTTCGTATACAAGTTTAATGAAGTTGTTGACATAATTGAATTATCTGAAAAGTTCACTCATCAATTCATCTTCAAATGTTGTTTTTCTAAACATCAGTTGTGTTTGCTGTTTGCACATTCTGGCTATCTAACTTGGCTGACTTGGCTAAGGATAGGTTTATCCATTTTGGTTATCCATTTTGATTCATGAAAAAAAAAAGTTTAAAGAAAAAATTTATATTAAATCATTATTTTAATAGCAAATACATTTTCTATGAAATAAACATTTTTATAGCATATAGCTTTATTTTTATATAACATATAGCTTTATTTTATTATTATTTATATTAAATTTCTACTTTATATTTTTTAAAACTATATTTTAATTACATTGATATTATCATTACATGTCTTTTTTTTTTCTAATTAAAATTGATTTAATTTTGTAAAAATAATTTGGTATAAAAAATTGTATGATATAAAAAGTATATTTTTTGATGTAAAAATAAAACATGCAGTTTTGTCCTAAAAATGTTTTGGCTAGTTTTTGCATTTTATAACTAATTTTTAGCAGGGGATATTCTACCAATGTTCAGAATCATCTTAAATTAAATATTTTTATGAAATTATTTTTAATATGCTGTAGACTTGGCAACGTTGATTTTAAATTAGAATTTGAACTATTTTGTAGTTGTTTTATGGAAGGTTTTTTTTAATAACTTTTCTTTTAAAACGCTAATGTAAGTTAGATATATCAATGGGTTATTTGATATTATACTAATATTAATAAGTAGTTTTTTTTCTGTAAGCTTTCTTTCTGTGTTTCTACTTGACTCTGTAAGCTTTCTTTCTGTGTTTCTACTTGACTCTGTAAGCTTTCTTTCTGTGTTTCTACTTGACTCTGTACTTGACTCTTCTACTTTCTTTGTTTCAGATTTTATATTTGTTGTTGATAGTTCTCAAGTAACTTGAAAACAAACAAACAAAACATAGTTTTGTTTTATGTTGCATTTAGTTTCAATTAAAAAAATAAAATATGGTAACTACAAATTTAAGCTTTAAAGGGATCCCCAACTGCCGAGACAAATTGTGTTCATATTAAAGAAAATGTTAAAAAAAAACATTTGGGGTTAATTTTTTTTGATTAAAACTGTATAATGAATGCACACCATTAAATTTAAAATTCATATTTTAGTCAAAGCTTGCCGTCTCCATTTTTTTTTTTGTTCTCGGAGTCTGTATAATATTAGCCGCAATCTGCAGACTTGATAATTTATACCATGCATGTTTAATTCATAACAGTTTTGGTGTATAATGTCATCGTATTAATTTTTTTCTTTCAAAATGTCTTTTTTTTTTTTTTTGCCACAATCACCAAATCATGTTAATTGTATAACTTTATACTAAATCCCCAAAAAAGTTTATGATGAAATAAAGAATTAAATTTATAAAATTTATAAAAATAAAAATTTAATATACAACGTTTATTTACAGTAAATGTACTGGTTTAAACTAAATATAAATTAGATATTAAAAGAATAATTTTACTAAACCGTATAAGTTAATTTAAAGTATAAACTGAATAAAAAACGAATGACTTGAATAAAACATATAAACTGAACTAAGTAGAAAAAAAATATTTAACAAATTGTTTTACTAATAAGCGTTCAAGTCAAACTAAATTAAAGTTAAAACAAATATTTGTACTAAGATATACAAAAAATAGTTATAATATAAATATAAAAACATAAAATCACATTAAATTGTTCGCTACCAGCCGAACAAAAATCTTTTTGTAGCAACTGCACATTTTTTTTGAATAATTTGACAATTATTTAAAATTCGATAATAATAGTTTTTAACACACATCATTAAACAATAAGAAATGCAAAGTGCTTATAACTATCGTTTTTATAAGTAGTTAACTAAAACATTAAGGGGATATTCTACCAATGTTCAGAATCATCTTAAATTAAATATTTTTATGAAATTATTTTTAATATGCTGTAGACTTGGCAACGTTGATTTTAAATTAGAATTTGAACTATTTTGTAGTTGTTTTATGGAAGGTTTTTTTTAAAATGTATAATTGTGTCATGATTTTGGCTGGCTTCTAAAACAAAGTAATAATAAAACAAGTAAAAAAAATAAATTATATATATATATATATATATATATATATATATATATATTTGTATAGTTTTTTAATAAATCACAAATCTTTTTTGTGATTTAGTAATAAATTATGCAAATATTTGATTTTCTGATTGTAGTAGAGTAAAAAATACTTATATCTTTAAAAAAAACAACAACAAAAAGACGCTATCTTAAAAAGATATTGCGATGATGTCATATACCGAAACTGTTATGAATTAAACATGCATGGAATAAATCATCAAGTCTGCAGATTGCGGCTAACATTATCAGACCCTGGGAACCAAAAAAAAAAATGGAGAAAAATGGAGAGCTTTGACTAAACTGATAATTTTAATTTTGTTTGTATGCATTCATTATTTAGTTTAAATCAAAAAAATTTAGTCCAAATATTTTTTTTAAACATTTTCTTTAATATGAACACAACTTGTCTTGGCAGTTAGGGATCCCTTTAAACTTTATGTTCTCAAAATACCAAATAAAACAAAATATCATAATGATTGCAAAAAGTCTGTATGTATGATGAGTTGACTAAAAAGCATACAAATTTTATGATACAAACAAAAGCAATCAATACTTTACAGTTAAAAAGGCTTTAGGTGTATTGCAAAGACTTGAGTGCACTAAGAATTATTGAGAACTGAAATTAAGATGAAGGTCATAGGATCAAACTACATTCTTAAAGTTGGGTTGGATAGTGACTGATTTCTTGAAAGTCTTTCTTAGAATTTTCACATTTAGAGGCAGAGAATGACTCTTCAATGCACATAACGAGAAGCCTTTTTCTTGATCTTCTGCAAAAGACTCTAGAGTTATGAGGCAAATAATGATTACAATCTCAGTTAATCTTTCTCAAAAATAAATGCCAAACAGGTAAAAAACAAGTTAAGTCTTAAAACAATGACTTTGTCTTATTATGTTAAATGAAACTTACCAACATTGTGTGTATTCAAATATCTCATTTATATGCTTATCCTGCACTTATTGATTGTTAAATGATTTTATACATATTTTTTAGATTAAATAAAAAACTAATAAAAAACTTGAAAGACTCTTTTCACATATTATTTATATTTCACTTTAAAATGAAAAATTCAGTATTTAAAAAAGATTAAATTTCCTTATAATTTATTTCTTGAAAAAAACCTTATACTTAACATAATTTTTATTTTTGGCTATTCATTTTTTTTTTACATATTTAATGTTATATTTTAATAAAGGTTATAAACAGTTTTATCAGTTTTAACAGTTTTATCAGTTCCAATAAGATATTTGTAAACATAATTTACGTTAATAAACAGGTAACGTCAAAAGAACTCTTCAAGATATTGGATTAATAAGAAACAAAAAAATTTAAATACATTTGTGAGAAGAATTCTTTTGAACAAAAACACTTCTCTATTTTTTATAAGAAAAATTTTTATTTATTTATTTTTACATATTTTAATCTATGGTGGAGAGACTTATGTTTTACGTAATGAATTAGTTTAAATTACAATTTAAGCTTGTGACTGTGAGTTTAGTTTTCTACTACTAGTCTGTTATCACTTTACCACATTGATTTTTATTATTAGTTATTATTATGTAGGTTATTTTTGTTATTATTATTGTTATTTTACTTGATGTACTTATAAACTTTTTTTAAAAACAGTTTTGTTTCACCTTCCCCTTTTTTAGGATTGCCAGAAATAAAGCAAATGCATCTGCATCTTGCAGATATTGAAGCTCGTTCAAGATTGAAAATTATACCCCTTCATTCTCAGATTACAAGCAATGAACAGATTAAAGTGTTTTTACCTTCTGAAAAAAAAGAAAGAAAGGTATTCAATTTATAAAAGCAAACCTAAAGATGTGCACAAAGTATATTAACATAAATTATTTTATATAGTTAACATAAATTATTTTAGGCTTAAATCATAAGAAACTATTAGTTTATATTGTGTTTGTTTAGTAGTAAATATTTTTTGGTGCTTTGGTCTCAAAAAGCTGTTGTGTTATAAAAATTTCTTTTAAATATCAATAGAGAACATACAAAAAAAAAAATTAATTTCTTTGCAATTTATGCACTATCCTATATAAAACATTTAAATATTTAATTTTCATGGTGCAGATAGATCTGTTGATACAGTTGCATATTTTTTCCTCAGATAAATCTTGTTTTTTTTTGTGCTTTTTTTTAAAAATCTTCATTTTCAACAAAACTGCAAGCAACCACTAATAGCGTTGGAAGTTACTGGAATAGAAAAGATATAGGTAATAAAGCAAGATAATGATTAACAGAGGACTTGAAAGATTGCAAATTATATGAATCAGGAAAACAAGATGAAAGGAGTGAATTTCAGAGAACTGATGTTCAAGAAAAAAAACTAGACAAATAAAAAATTTGTAAACCATTTAGAAACAGTCACTGTAAAAGGATCAGACTTAATTAAATGGTGAGAAACATGTTGATGAGTTTTAGTAGATGGTACAAGAGACGCTAGTTCTTTAGAGCAGCACCCATTATAGTAATTATAGAAACAAGAAAGAAAAGCAACATTATGATAATCTGACCATATTTGGAGGTTAGCTGCAAGAGCAGATCCAACTATGTTTACAATGCGTTTTTGCACCTTGACTAAAAGAGAAAGGGTATCATTTGAAGATCCGCTCCAGATAAGGCAACAGTATTCCATACAAGTTACGATTTGAGATTTATAGAGATAAAAAATAGAATCCAGTGTAAGAAAGTGGCGAGCACAATACAGAAATTCAACCTTAGCAGATGCTAATTTTGCAATGGATTTTATATATGGTTTATAAAAAAGATTAGAAATAAGAGTTAATTCTAGAAAAAGGAAGGGTAGATGACTCATTAAGTACATTACCGTTCATAAATATAGGAAGATCAAGGTTGTTGCAATCATGATTAGCTAAAAAAATTGAGTTAAAACTAGTTAAAACTCCTGCCGCAAACAATTATTTTTATTCATCATTTTTCAATCATTTTTCAATAATTTGTATTTATTTTATTTAGTTTTAACCTAAGATAAGGAGTTGATTAAAAAGCATTTTTTTGAATACATGAATTCACCTGTGGACAATGTTACTTTAGTTATGATAAGAAAACTATTTTACTTAAGACACTTAGTAAACGCTCTTGTTGCAAATAACACGCAATTAGTAAATAGTTATTGAAAATTGTTTAAAGTATTTAAAACATTTATTTAGTCAATTTAGTTTTATTAGTTATTAGTGTTTTTTAGTAATTAGTAATTAAATTTTTAAATACTTTAAACAATTTTTATATAATATTTACATTTCATAATATATTTACATATGTTGAATTGCATAATATTTGTAAAATTAACAAAATAGTTTTACGTCTTGTATTCGAATAACTATTCGAACAAAAATCATTTAATAAACGTATTTACTATAATTTTAATTTTAAAATTTTGATTTAAATATTAGCAAATCTGTTCATTTAACTTTTACTAAAAGTTAATAATTTTAAAAATGATTTTAAGGTGACTTTTAAATTAAAGATAATTAAAGAAGAGATAATTACGATAAACATTGTTTTAAAAATGTTATATTTTTTTAGTTAAAAAACATATTATATTTGAAAAAACATATTATATTTTTGAAAATTATAATATTTTTTTAATTATTAAGTATAATTTAAAAAATTTAATAAATAAGTTTCATTTACCATGGGTTATTTTAAGCAGATCTTAATTAAATTTTTATTTAGCTATTGTAATCGTTGTTTTTATTATTTTAAAAGTCAAAAAGAATATGGAAAAGAAACGAAACTTTCTGTAAAAGTTTACATTTTATTTTTTTGTTTTCCTCACGTAATATAAACTAAAATAGCAAGCTATTTTAGTGTATATTATATAAAGTATAAAAGTTCATTTTTTCGTTCAAAAATTAATTTTCGTTCAAAAATTTGCGCTATAGTTATTAAGACTGAAATTTTACTTTTTATCTTTTTTTTACTTTTTAATTTTTTATTTATTATCAACTTTGAATGGATTTTTTAAAATCGTTTTAAACTAAAAAATATTTAAACTAATATCTTTCAAAAAAGCAAATTTTTTATACATTCCATTATAAAATTTTGCATCAAGTTTTTAAAATTAAGTTTTGTAATGACGTTTATTTTTTTAAAACTAACATTCAAATAGTAACCAAAGAACAGTTACATCACAAAACTACGTAAAAATTTCTTTCTAATTCATTTTATTGACCGAAAAAAAAAAATCAGGTAGCTAAAATAAACTGAAAACTATTTATATACTACATTCAAAACTGAAATTTTTTTTCTATTTTTAATAAAAAGCAAAAGAAAAATTATAAAATGAAAATAATTTTTGGGGTGCCCATACCGCTCCAGCGGTACTAAAACAGGTTTGGGTTCGTCCCTGCCAGCCACTGAGAGCCCCATGCTGTAGCAAAATTGAGATCCTTTTCAAGCTCAAATGCCCCTCCAAGCAATCAGAGAGTGTTGGCTTCTTATCAAGGCAAGAATAAATGGTAGTATCATCAGCAAACAATGCCACCTTAGATGTGAGAATATCTGGAAGATTGCTAATGTAAATTAAAAAGAGTATAGGGCCAAGGACAGAACCTTGAGGAACCCCTGAAGTTACAGGATATGAAGAAGAGTGCTTTCCATTAAGGACAACTTTTATACTACAATTGGAAAGGAATGATTCAATAATCCTAAAGATGTTACCTGATACACTGTAAGAAGAAAGTTTATGGAGAAGACCAGCTGCCAAACTTTATCAAAGGCTTTAGAAATAATGAGAGGAATAGCCTTAACCTCTTGACATCTATCTAACGCATGATAAAACCTATTGTTTATTATAGTTAACAAATCAGTAGTAGAATGAGAAGATTGAAATCCATGTTAATGATCAGAAAGTAATTTATTAGGTTCAAAATGAGAGATTAATTAAAGACTCAAAAAAGTCTTTGTTAATTTCTCATTTTTAAGAGATTAATTAAACATTCAAAAGACGATTCAAGAATTTTAGAAAATTCAAGAACTTTAGACAAGTCAAGAATTTTTAAAATTAGGAATAACAATTACTGCTTTCTAGCAGGTTGGAAAACAAGATTCTAATAACCACTTGTTAAATAGTTTTGAAAGTATAGACAACATCTCCCGAGAACATTTTTGCCAGACTATAACTGGTATAACAGGTATATAACTAGTATGTTGTCTGGACCACAATCTGTAGAAGAGTCTAAGTAGAAAATCATTTTAGATACAGAAGCTGGAGTGATACGAATGTCAAACATGTGATTAGTGGAATTAAGAGTGTACGCGCTATGTACATGCTTTCTTTAAAATCAAAGAAAACATGCACACAGAGTGGAAAAAATCCACTGTTAACAAACAAATGAACCATGTAAAAGCAACACTCTCGATCTAGTTCCTTTTAACATCACTGGTTCATTTTTTAAACATTTGTTGCATTTTTTAATTGCGTTTTTATTGTATTTTTTATTATAAGGTTTCTAATTGTTCAACTTAATTTTACTAATTTGATTTAAGCATTTCAATTTATTTTAACTGATGATGGCTATGATCTAGTCAAAACATGTATTTTATAAATTAAATGATTTTAACAAAAATTTAAAACATTGTCTTATTTATTGTCCAGGGTTAAAACAAATATTGATAAAATCAATTATATATCATTATCACCAAGAAAATTCAAAATGAACAGTTAGGCTTTGTCAAACAACAAAAGTTTATCCACAACAGTCAACACAGTGCGTAAAATGGTTGTAGATAACAGCAAAAAGATTAGGAATTTTTTATTTACTGAAATAGCCAGCAAAAAAAGCCTTATTTTGGTGTAGGAGAAAGATTTTTTTTATCTTTTGATGAACAGACGTCACTATGTAAATCAAATCCATCTTCTGCAACCCCTATTAGGGCTTGCACAGATGATTGATTAAGATGGATTTCATTTGCAAAAAAATATTGTTTGTATTATGACTGACGGAGCAAGTGTGATGAAAAAATTTGGGAGAATATTACTTGTAAATCAATAGTTCTGTTTTACCCATGGTGTGCAACTGGCCGTTATTGAAGTAGTACATCAAAACTAGGATATAGAAAGAGAAATAGATCAGCTCTTTGACAAAGACAAACAATCTGAAATAGAAGACGATTTTTCAGAGAGTAATTCATGCGAAGATGATGAATTTTCTGACAACAATGAACTGGTCAATCTCGATGCTTGTCTAATAGGCATCAAGGAAACCGATGTGATGTTACTGAGGTAAGTTGTGGTCCAGTGGTCAAAAAGGTATGGAAAATTACAAGCTCAGACAATCACTCACAAAAAAAATGACATGTTGCAGAAGTATGTTGCGACTGAATTTGGGAAGCAATAAACTCAATAAAAGACTGCAAGACTAGATAGATTCATAAAAAAATTGTATACAAAAGGCATGAATAGACATTAGTCTACCTGTATTTGCTATCATTAATGGGCTAGTCCCACTAAAAGCAACAGTTGAGGTCCTTTGCCATTGGAATTTATTTAAAGCCGATGATAACAAATACACCCTTAACAATACCCTTAACATAACAAAACAACACCCTTAACATAACAAACTTTTTATTTAGATTTGAAACATCTAGTCTTTTGAGTTACTCAACTATTAATTTACAATATTTTATTGAAGACAAACCTGTTACTAGCTTTATTTCAGATTTGACTATTTCAGACGAACTTAAAAGAAACTTAGCTATAAAAAAAGTACATTTGCCCAGCATACCAATTCGATGTGAAGCGCTGTTGGTGACAATTTGAAAGGAAATGTTGTTTAAAAATTGAGGAACACGTGGTAATTTTTGCAAAAAGCGTATAGTTTTTTAATGACTATTAAGGATACCAATGTAGTATCTGAATGTGCTTTTACTGCGGCCGGACTTATAGCAACAAAATTAAGAAGTCATCTTGGTGATAAAACTTTGGATGTGTTCTGCCTTATCAAAACATATTTTAAAAATAATTCCATATGTATATTATATCTATAAAAACAATACACTTTTTATAATTTAATAATTAAGTATGTATAATATTACCAAAGACCAAAGAATTTCCTTGTATTTTAATAATTAGTTTTTTCTAAACATGTTTTAAATGTCTTATTAATTTTATTATAGTTTTACTTAAGTAATATGTTAAAGTCTATCAAGAAAATCTTTTAAGAACAGGTATTTAAAAATCCCAGGTTTAATCCTGGGATCCCAGAATCAGGTAAATGTAATCTCACAATCCTGGGATTGAAAATATAGCTCAGGATTAAAAACCCTAATTTCATTAGACTATTTTTAAGATTTTCAGATTTTGAAAATTTAGAAATTTTTCTTTGTCACACTTAGCAAAAAAAAAATTTTGATACAATTAGGTCTTGAGAAGCCTATAATAACTTTTATTAACTAATTTTTGTAAACTTTAAATTCATTTTTCTTATATTGGTTTTTTAGGTTATTTTATCTACAAATATTGCAGAGAGCTCTATAACTGTTCCCGATATTAAATATGGTATTTATTTATTTTTGTATGTATGTGTGTATGTATGTATGTATGTATGTATGTATGTATGTATGTATGTATGTATGTATGTATGTATGTATGTATGTATGTATGTATGTATGTATGTATGTATGTATGTATGTATGTGTGTATGTATGTATGTATGTATGTATGCATGTGCCTCGTTCCAATGTGTATGTATGTATGTATGTATGTATGTATGTATGTATGTATGTATGTATGTATGTATGTATGTATGTATGTATGTATGTATATATGTATGTATAGAAGAACTAATACTGCCTTAATGAACTGCGCACTACTTTACGCGACTCCTTATCAGCTCTTTTTTTTTTATCGGCTTATTCAAGTGGTTTGATAATTTTTTTAACTTATTTTGCATCATTATTGTTTCTATATCCTCACAGTAGTCCAAATTTTATTGAGCCGATAAGTTGGTATTTGTATTTTTTACACTTACACATAATTTTCATAAAATCCATTGTTATTGAACCCTTAAAGGAATTGTAAGGTTTTTATGTTATTAATGTTTTTACAAATGATATATTTAATTTTAGTGATAAAAACCTTAAATTATAAATAAATATAACAACTTTATTGACTTGCATAACTTACTCTTTTCGCTATTGGTAATTTTGTGCTCTTCTTAAACTCTATTTTATTTATTTTTAAATGTGCTAACAATTTATTATTAGTTAATTTTAAAAATGGCAAATTTCAGTTTTCTTAAATCTAAAAGCTTAAATCAGATTGAAAAAGAAAACAATGAGTTTATTGTAGAGCTACCTTTAAACATGTCTGAAGATGTGTTTATTGGTGAAGGTTCATTTGCTAAAGTGTTTAAATTTTCTCATAAAAAAAAGGTTGTTGCTTGTAAACTGTGAAATTGATTTAAAAAGCTTGATCATTCAAATATTGTTGCGTATATTGGCTTTAGTTTTAGACCTACAGCAATTTTTACTACTGTTGTGTTCTAGTAGAAAATACCGTATGCCATTCATTGCCAGAGTTATTAAATTTATTCAACGAAAAAATTTATTTCAATTATATGGAGCGTTTGGATTACTGTTTACAAGCAGCAAATGGATTAAAATATTTGCATGACTTAAACATTTTGCATCATGATTTTAAGTCTGCAAATATTTTAGTTCAGGGCACTTTAAGTAATCTAGTGATCAATCTTTCTGATTTTTGTGACAAAACAATGGCAACAAAGAAGGAAACGATGACAACAAAGACCAAGGTAAAAGCTGGATTTGGTGGGTTAACTGTAGCTTATCTTTTTCCTGAAATTTGCAATTGAACTGTTAATATTGTCACTAAAGAGTCAGATGTTTATGCCATGTTTTGAAATTATGTCAGGATTAGACTCACCATGGCAAAATCACTTTTCTATTTATAAAGATATTTTTTTAACTCAAGCTCTTGAAAAAGAAGAAAGATCAGACACAAGTCTTATTTCTAAAATATATTTGGAGTCTGACACAAGACATCTTGTTGAAATTGTTAGCTAATAGCTATAGAAAAAGACTCTCAAGTGAAAAGGAAAAAAGGCAACTTGGAACAAAGAAAAGCAATTAGAAAAAGAAAAGCCAAAAAAAAAAAAAAAGTATTATTTAATTTTTAAAATTAGTTGGTTGTTTAACAACGTAAAGTTTTTCCATTGCCCCTAATATTTCAGAATTGTAATTTGCATTTCTTAATCGCAATATGTATTTACCCGAGTTTCTGGCAGAGTTTTTAATAGTTTAATAGTTTTTAATACTTTGTTCTAAAGTAATAAAACATATGCATCTGAGCTTAAGGGGCGTCGAGAAGAAGGGGATAGGAGACAGTTTGCGCCAAAGGAGTGCCAAAGAAAAATGGTATGTAAAAAGATTTTTTACTGATAATATAGGTAAATTCATAAAAATAGGGTCACCTTTCAAGGTTCCTGTCCTAGACGGTGTGAAGGCTCTTGGCAGATCACAGCTTATTTATTTGATGACAATAGGTGAATAATAAAACTTTAACTTTATCACGCACCATTGAATTCTCTTTGAGAAAGTGATCTAAAAGTTACACTATATTATTAACCACTACTTGCGTTTAATTAACTAACTGTTAGCAGCAGAACATTAAGATAGAAACATTAAACACATTTTTTAACTAGGTCATTAGTTAATTAAGAACTACCAAAATAAGGTTGAAGATCAGAGACTAAATATCATTAAATTTTTTTTCATTTGACATTTAGGACAATTGCTATGAAAACATTTTTGTTATTTTAAACAATTTTGATGCATTACCAAACAATTATATTTTGTACACGTTAGTTTACGTTTTGTCTCAATTTTTATGCATTACTGACACACGTAGGTATGTGTTAATTTGCAATTAATTTTTCGCGTTTAAAAATAATCAAAACTTGTTAATGAGGCTAAAAGCCATAGGCTAGTTATCATAGAGCTTTATTCATTTGAAAATAATTACAAAAACTTCTGTTAGAATTACTTTTTATTAAACTAACAATTTCGATGCATTATAAATGCAATTTTAAACCTTGCTTATAAACGATTGTTATTAACTAAATTTTGTACGTGTTAGTTTACCTTTGGTGTCAATTTTGATGCATTACTGACATGCATGGATATGTGGTACTTTGCAATTAATTATTCCTGTTTAAAAATAATCAAAACTTTCTAATGAGGCTAAAAGCCATAGGTTAACTTTTATCGAGCTTTATTCATTTAAAAATATTTAAGAAAACTACTGTCAAAACAATTTTTATTTAAGCCATTTATTTTGATGCATTAACGAACCTCGCTTATAAACGACATTATTAATTATATTTTGTACGCATTTGTTTACGTTTAGTGTCAAGTTTTAAGCAATACTGACACACGTAGGTATGTGGCACTTTGCAATCAATTTTTCCCGTAGGAAAATAATCAAAGCTTCTAAAAGAGGTTGAATACTATAGGCTAACTATAAAAGAGCTTTATTCTTATGAAAACTGCTGTTAAAACAATTTTTTTTTATCTAGCTAACAATTGAACAATCGAAACTTGCTTATAAACAATGTGGCACCTATGACATGATATATAATGACACACCTACGCATGTGCCTTGTTCCAATAAATTTTTCCTTATAGAATAAACTAATTTTCTAAATGAGATTAAAAACTATTTATTAACAAACATCAAATCCAAGAATACATAAAGTAAATGATTTGCTGAGTGTGTCACTATTCATAAGCATAGAAAGATTAATGAATGGTTATTGCAATAACCAATTTATGATCTGAGAATTACTGAGTTGAATTTGACCAGCTGAATTTGACCAGCAACTGAAATCCCTTTTACTTTTCTAATTTATGAGAAAAGACTCTGATAAGCCCTTGTTAAATAGTTTTAACAAAAGTTCAAGAGAACAAATCTTACATTGGGCTCTGGGGGTGTTTAAAAAAATATAGAAAAGTATTGAAAATTATCATGAAATCTAAAATAATATCATTTTGCCCACAGGAATCGAGACCCTCAAAGATCACATGAATTCATAATATTAACAATATAAGATTTTTTGTCAACCTGGTTCTCAAAAGAAGTGTGTAATCATAATATTTTATAAAAATGTCATTTAATGAAATACAACTTAAAAATTATTGTATTCTTTTTTTGTAATTTGATGTAGAATCCTGCATAAAATAGTACTTTTATTAATAACTTTCCCATTCTTTTATTGATTGTAGCACTAGTAGAACCTCCTTACCTGGTTTGATATACAAATTCTATTTTGTCAGTAACAGGTAAAAACAAATTCCCAACTTAACTTTTAGATTTTATCTTAAACAACTTTAACTGTCATAACAAGAAACAATTAATATGAAGTGTGACATCTTATTGCAATGAGGGTCTCTGAAGACATCTTACAATTAGATTTTACAATTAGACATGATCAAATAAAAAAAGAACTTCGTAGTTTTTTTAAAGAGAAACGAGACCACAAAGTAGGTCTAGAGGTGCAGTAAAAAATGAAGTAGCAGCAAAATGTAAAAAATGAAGTAGCAATATGCATATGCTATATGCATAAAGGTATCTTAAGGCCTAAAGAGCTTTCTTTTATTTAGGATTTATTTTATTAATAATAATTTGGGGTCCTTTTCTTTTGCTTTATTGTTATATTTTTCATGCAAAGTCTTTTTGGACTCATTGAATTAAATTAAATTATGTTAAAGATCTTTAATTTGGAACTATTATTTATAAGTTGCATAGTAAGCATTCTGTATATGTACCACGATGAATAAACGTAACACATTTCTCAGATTATAAATTTGAATATTTATGAATTTGTTCAAATATTTGATTAGCGTTTAAATAAAGAGTGAGTCTTGAACAGAAGGCCTCAATATGCTAACACCCTAAAGATGTAGGCTTTTTAACACAAAAAATGCTAGCCTTTCCCAAACTTCCTAAATAAGGGAGTCCAACAGTTTTAATGACCATTTTTCAAATTGAAGAAGCTTTCTTTTTTTTTTTTTAGTAATACCAAATTGTAAAAGGTTTTCAGAATTCAGGGTTATGGGTTTTCAGGACTCAGGGTTACAAGTAAAGGGTTTTTAGAATTCAGTGTTAAAAGGCCCTGCCAACCAGTTTTTTTTGGAGGAAAGCCTCCGACCCTCTATTCACGGCACTGCCAATGCTGACCTTCCTCAGTTAAAAAAATCATTTCTTCATTCATCTTTCTTGAAAAAAATGTGATGGCCTTTATAAAGATAAATAATAAAAACATACATAAAAATAATAATTAATATTTAATAAATCATAAACCTAATATATCATAAAATCATTTTTAATTACTATTAAGAAACTTTTCTAATTTTAAATTCTATTAAAACTTTTAGTATTATTGATTCAGTAAATACCAATTTTTGAAAACCTATGACGTAGTTCCTTGGAATGGTAATGGGGAAATTATACTTTCGAAAATTCAATTATACCAACTTATC